ATAACAGAAAGACGAATTTAGGGGAAGCGGGAAGAGGGAGATATTTGACATCAGAAAGGGATAGTTGAAATGTCTAGGACACATGCGGAAAGAAGGCTTGGAAAATTTGATACTCACAGGATAGATTGAAGGTAAGAGGGACAGATACCAACAAAGCGTAACCTACTTAGTGAGCTTGAATAAATAGATGGTAGAACAGGGTTTAGGAGAGATAACAAAAAGTCAAACTTTATTAAGAGCTACAGAGAAAAGGAACTTGTGGAAAGCCATGATCGCCAACGTTCTGAAGGGATATGGCTTCCCTGAACACTATAGTTTTAACCTGGTGAAGTCAAAGGTCAGTCATTATTTATCCTCATATGTTCATATTATTTGTTTTCTAATAGCTCCTATTTCACTCATAAGCATTTTAACAGTAAACCTCTATTTGGAATGACTCTTGAGCCTTATACAGAGTGAACTATAGTATGAAAGAACATTTCAGATGTTGATGATTGTATTACACCATACTTTTGAAAATGTTAAACTAGGCCGAGTTATTTTAAGCATTTTAACTTAAAGCAAGATTTTGAAAACCTGTAGAGGCGTAGTTCGATGATCTTGGATTACTGCAAAACGCGATCACCAAGATTGGATATGATCCGGTTAATCTTGATAACTTAAGTGCGGCTACATTACCAAGAAGGCAATCCACCTTGTGAACGGTCAAGCGGGCAGTCGTTTCACACCGACTTTTATCAGGCGCCTGACAAATCCAAGACTCAAGTCAGCGATTATCAAACGCCTAAATAATTCCACAAGATGTGAAATTAATTGTCTTCTTGAATGCTAGCCGCTCGTTTTCAAGATATCTCACAGGTATCGCTAAGTCACCAATGATCCGACACTTGTAACGCTTCCTTGATCCAATCTCCCCCGCTCTGTGTATATATATATATATATGTATGTATGTGTGTATATATATATATATGTGTATATATATATATGTGTGTGTGTGTGCGCGTGTGTATGTGTAGGTATTTGTGTGTTTGTGTGTGCGTGTGAGACAGAGAGAGTGTGTTTTTCCAATCCACCTCAATTTGTTCATCTCAGTGAGATTTACAGATCTAAAACTTTTAAAATTTATCTCAGTCGCTTCGTATCTATCTATCTATCTATCTATCTATCTATCTATCTATCTATCTATCTATCTATCTATTCAATATCCATCCTTTCATCTATCTATCTATCTATCTATCTATCTCATTATATATTGGTCTGTTCTGTTTTGTTTTACAGCATATCAACCACAATGTGTTAATTAATGCCAACAAGATTTTTATTGGTGGTAATATTTTTTATCTACCTATCTATCTATCTATTGGTTTGGTTAGTTTTGTTTTACGGCATATCAACGTCAATGAGATTTAATGCTGACAATATTTTTATTGCTGGTTATGTTTTCTATCTATCTATCTATCTATCTATCTATCTATCTATCTATCTATCTATCTATCTATCTATGTCTGTCTATTCATATCTATCTATCTATCTATTCATATCTGTCTATCTGTCTATTCATATCTATCTATCTGTCTATGCATATCTATCTATCTATCTATCTATCTATCTATCTATCTATCTATCTATCAGTCTGTCTGTCTGTCTATTCATATCTATCTATCTATCTATCTATCTATCTATCTATCTATCTATCTATCTATCTATCTGTGTCTATTCATATCTATCTATCTATCTATCTATCTATCTATCTATCTATCTATCTATCTATATATATTCATATCTGTTTATTCATATCTATCTATCTATCTATCTATCTATCTATCTATCTATCTATCTATCAGTCTAACTGAATCTGGTCATATCTATTTATTTCTCTATTTATCCCAGTCTTTCTTATATTTCTATCTCAGTCTCTTCATATCTATCTATCTATCTATCTATCTATCTCTCTCTCTCTCTCTCTCTATATATATATATATATATATATATATATATATATATATATATATATATATATATTCATTTTTTTCTCGTTCGCTTTTATGCAATTATCTATCTATCTATCTATCTATCTATCTATCTATCTATCTATCTATCTGTATATTCATATCTATCTGTTTATTCATATCTATCTATCTATCTATCTATCTATCTATCTATCTGTCTGTCTATCTGTGTCTATTCATATCTATCTGTCTATGCATATCTATCTATCTCTATTCACATCTATCTATCTACCTATCAGTCTGTCTGTCTGTCTATTCATATCTATCTATCTATCTATCTATCTATCTATCTATCTATCTATCTATCTATCTATCTATCTATCAGTCTAAATGAATCTGTTCATATCTATTTATTTCTCTATTTATCCCAGTCTTTCATATATTTCTATCTCAGTCTCTTCATATCTATCTATCTATCTCTCTCTCTCTCTCTCTCTATATATATATATATATATATATATATATATATATATATATATATATATTCATTTTTTCTCGTTCGCTTTTATGCAACTTAAGCGCATTTCTCAGGCAGGCTCCTGAAATTGTTCAACCTGGATTTACCGAAAACACTTTTCTTTCCACTTAACTAATTTATCTCAACTCAGTGCTTGTTTTAAAAGTTTAGTATTTGTTCCCAGTTCATAGATTAACGTCTTTTCTTGTTCGAATCTTCAAAGAAAGGCTCATTAAATTCTTGTCGACTTTCAAATAATTTCCTGGTTTTATTCTTAGGATTCTGTATAAATTTCAACACTACATTTTCGCGGTCTCCTCAACTTGAATTCCAGAAAGTGACCAGATTTTATTTTCGAAGACTTTAACATGTCACCGCAAAGGACCAGAAAATATCAGGCGAAATGCGCATGCATCCCTGAACAAGATTCCAGAACTTGCTATAGAACAAAAGAACAACAAGAAAGGTTGCAGGAAACACTGTCGAAATGTTTTCTAGTATCTTAAAAGAATATATAATCATTAGAAATGTCTTCCTTTGATCAACCATCATGATGCAGTCATTAGAACGAATGAAAGTTTTGACGTGTTTGTTTCACAAAACCTCATAATTCTATATGTAATCATTAGAGGGAATGAAAGTGTTGACGTATTTGTTTAATAAATCCTTTCCGTTATATATGTAATCATTAGAGGGAATGAAAGTTTTGGAATTTGTTTAATAAATCCTTTCCGTTATATATGTAATCATTAGAGGGAATGAAAGTTTTGAAATTTGTTTAATAAATCCTATCCGTTATATATGTAATCATTAGAGGGAATGAAAGTTTTGAAATTTGTTTAATAAATCCTTTCCGTTATATATGTAATCATTAGAGGGAATGAAAGTGTTGACATATTTGTTTAATAAATCCTATCCGTTATATATGTAATCATTAGAGGGAATGAATGTTTTGACGTATTTTTTAATTAAATCCTATCCGTTATATATGTAATCATTAGAGGGAATGAAAGTGTTGACATATTTGTTTAATAAATCCTATCCGTTATATATGTAATCATTAGAGGGAATGAAAGTGTTGACATATTTGTTTAATAAATCCTTTCCGTTATATATGTAATCATTAGAGGGAATGAAAGTGTTGACATATTTGTTTAATAAATCCTATCCGTTATATATGTAATCATTAGAGGAATGAATGTTTTGACGTATTTTTAATTAAATCCTATCCGTTATATATGTAATCATTAGAGGAATGAAAGTGTTGACATATTTGTTTTAATAAATCCTATCCGTTATATATGTAATCATTAGAGGAATGAATGTTTTGACGTATTTTTTAATTAAATCCTATCCGTTATATATGTAATCATTAGAGGGAATGAAAGTGTTGACATATTTGTTTAATAAATCCTATCCGTTATATATGTAATCATTAGAGGGAATGAAAGTTTTGAAATTTGTTTAATAAATCCTTTCCGTTATATATGTAATCATTAGAGGGAATGAAAGTGTTGACATATTTGTTTAATAAATCCTATCCGTTATATATGTAATCATTAGAGGGAATGAATGTTTTGACGTATTTTTTAATTAAATCCTATCCGTTATATATGTAATCATTAGAGGAAATGAAAGTGTTGACATATTTGTTTAATAAATCCTATCCGTTATATATGTAATCATTAGAGGGAATGAAAGTTTTGACGGATTTGTTTAATAAATTCTGTTGAAGCATATCTACAGACAAGTATGCTTCATTTCTATAGAGTAGTAAATACTGTATGTTGGTTTGCAGTTGGAGATTCGTCTCCAGCTGTGCTGGTCAAACTCTCTGTTCCGGGCAGAGAGGATCCCCAGACGAGGCTATGTCGAACGGCTGGCTCTTTCTTCTTCTCCTCTCCCTCCTCCCCTTCCTCATCCTCCTTCTCTTTCTTCTTGTTCTTGTTCTTCTTCTCATCCTACTCTTTATTCTTTGTATTTCTGTGTCACGTTTTTCATATATTACGTGTTTTTTCTTCTTCTCCCCTTCCTCCTCGTTTTTCTTCTTTTTCTTCTCTTTCCTTTCATCATATACTTTCTTCTTTGCATTTTTGTGCCACGTTTACCGTAATCTCTTACGCTTTATTCTTTTTCTTCTTCTTCTCTTCCTCCTCCTCCTCTTCTTCATCCTCCCCCCTGTCTTCTTTTTCTTCTTTGTGTCGAATCCCTTCTATGATTCTCCGAAATTTTCTCTCTTTTGTAACACCTGATTGCTTTTTGATTGATTTGTTTTTTTACGGATTATCAACCTTTTACAATTTATTTAAAGTCAGAACATATATTTTACATCTTAAGAATTTTCTGGAGATAATAATGAGTTACTGATACAAGTCCAACTATTTAACCCATAATTGGAGAGTGAAAGGGAAAAAGTGGATTCATGCCTTTCTCAAAGATATTGGCGTGAATATAACGACCCCGAGTGGAATTGATACCCGCCTCTCCTGTTTTCATTTCCGAGCAGGTTATCCATTCTCATCCGCATATCTAAGCTTACAACACCTGGTATTCCCAAGTGGTCACCCATTTCGATACTGGGCACACTAGACATTGCTTAACTTCGGTGATCGTACGAGAACCTGTGTTTCAACGTGATACGTCGTTTTAACACACAGTAAAGTTCGGCTTTGATGCGATCTCTAAAAATCCCTGTTCTGCCAACCATTTACACAAGATCGAAGAGGTTATGCCCTATAGGTTTCCTTCAATATGTCTAGTGAGTGCAATATTTTCTTGGCCTTCTTTCCTCATTATGTGCGCTAGACATTCCGGCTGCCTCTTTCTGGTTTTATATATAAGTGTCGTTTTTATTGCCATTTTCCCTAAGGCTTCGCACAATTATTTATTACGTAAGCTATTTACAAATGAGCGCCGTTGCGAATCAATTCCAACTGGTGGATGGTAACTAGGACAATGCGAAAACGGATATGAGGATTATTATTGCTTCTCTGAAACCTGCCACAAATATGCCAGAAGTATATGTCAAATTTCATTATTTAAAGAATTTTCTTAGGCACGTTAACACGGTGTTTGATTGGTTTGTTTTACGGTATATCAACCTCAATGGGTTACTTAATGCTGACAAGATTTTTATCGCTGGTAACCATTTCTATCTATCTATCTAACTATCTATCTATCTCAGTATGTATTGATTTGGTTTGTTTTGTTTTACGGCATATCGACCTCAATGGCGTATTTAATGTCGACAAGATTGTTATTGCGGGTTATACTATCTATCTATCTATCTATCTATCTATCTATCTATCTATCTATCTATCTATCTCAGTATGTATTGATTTGGTTTGTTTTGTTTTACGGCATATCGACCTCAATGGCGTATTTAATGTCGACAAGATTGTTATTGCGGGTTATACTATCTATCTATCTATCTATCTATCTATATATATATATATATATATATATATATATCTCAGTATGTATTGATTTGGTTTGTTTTGTTTTACGGCATATCGACCTCAATGGCGTATTTAATGTCGACAAGATTGTTATTGCGGGTTATACTATCTATCTATCTATCTATCTATCTATCTATCTATCTATCTATCTATCTATCTCAGTATATATTGGTTTGGTTTGTTTTACGGTATATCAACCTCAATGGTTTACTTAATGCCGACAAAATTTTTATTGCTGGTAATATTTTTTTACAAAAATGTATTGCTGGTAATACACTTAACAGACTGGTTGCCATGGTGCGTTTTTGTTTGGTTTTGTACGTTTTACGACATATCAACCTCAATGGGTTATTTAATGCCGACAAGATTTTTATTGCTGGTAATATTTTTTCCAAAAATATATTGCTGGTAATATTTTGTTTTCCAAAAGTGTATTGCTGCTAATATTTTATTTCCGTAATGTATTAATGTTAACGCGCTGTTTGTTTGTTTTGTTTTACGGCATATCAACCTCAATGGATTATTTAATGCCGACAAGATTTTTATTGCTGGTAATATTTTCTATCTATCTATCTATCTACCTATCTATCTATCTATCTCAGTATATTTTGGTTTGGTTTATTTTGTATTACGGCATATCAACCTCAATGTGTTATTTAATGCCGGCAAAATTTTTATTTCTGGTAATATTTTTTTCCAAACATATATTACTGGAAATATTTTTTTTTTCTAAAAAATATTGCTGGTAATATTTATTTTTCCAAAAATGTATTGCTGTTAATAGTTTATTTCCATAATGTATTGCTGTTAAAATTTTTCTTTTTCAAAAATTTACTGCTGCTAATAACTTTTCCAAAAACTTATTACTGGTATTAAAACTTATTTTCATACTTTCATAGAAATTTGTCCCCTTCTAGGGGGTTAACTATTGGGAACCTGACAGGTGCTACCACCCCGGGTCAGCGTGGACCTGGGAACACCAGCAATTAATCAAAGGCCTTGCTGTTGGATGTAGTTTATCGTCTTACCCAGGACAGGTTAACACGTATAGTGTCAATGGGAGCTACTATATTTTTTTTTAAAGAAATCACATAAACAGGTAATAAACCTCACTTGCTTTCTTGATTTCCATGAAAAACAAAAATTAAATTTACTAAACATACGTATGGTAATTTTCTAAGCGTAGCTTAGAGAATACATAAAATCGAAAGTATGGGAAAACCAGTAAGGATCGAACTCACTTTTCAGTTGGAATCTGATTCAGCGAGATACACACGCTAAAAACTACACCACGTCGAAGGGCCCAAAATGGTAGAAAATAATGCTAGGCTTTATGTATATAACCTTTAAAGAGACTATTCGGGCATATACGTTTTAGAAGACGTTTTTTAAAAAAAAAACTCAGCACTCAGATGTCATTTTTCTACCGATACAAGTATATTTACCCCTCCCCAACACATACCCCCCAACACCCCCCTACTGAGACACTAGTTGTGACACAAGGTCGGTTTTAAACGAGGAGAAACCGACCGCTTAAACTCGGGCAAAGAACAAAATTTTCCCGAGGCCCCGCAACCGCTGGCCTCAGTGCGAGCCCCGATCCTTCTCTCGAGTGCAATCAGAAGGTGCAGCCTTGGACATCTGTTTCCCAGGCCTGTGCACCTCACCTCAGTTGCGCCTCTGTCCTCCGACGGAGCCGCAGCTGAAGACAGAGACCAAACTGAGAGATGATAAACAAAAACCTACCGGGTGAGTATTATAGTGATTTTCCAAGCATATAAGCTTATATGTGGCTCAAGGTCGAAAGTAGGGAGCACCCAGTGAGAATCGAACTCACTACCCAGTTGTAAGCGAGACAAGATTGTGTGTCAAATCTCGCGAAAACGCCGTTCTCTTTTTATCACCGAAGTTAAGCAGTATCGACCCTAGTCAGTACTTAGATGGGGATCGCATGATAACACCTGACAGCGAAAACCGGGTAAAAAAACCTAATGGCCTTGAGGCTAACAACTTCATTCTGTAAAAAAAAAAGACTTAATTGGTATGAAAATAAGTGACAGAAAGTTAGGTCACTGGATCGTGCGAGAGAATTTTTCTCTCCAGAATCTATCTTACATGTCTACCATTCGTCCATGCTTAGATTATTACTGCTACATATGATACGGTGCTTCTGTTATTGATCTAGAGCTCCTTGATTAAATCCAAAGAAGAATCAGCAATATTAATGGTCCTGACCTGGCGGCTTGGCTTCAGTCACTTTCCCACCAAGAGAGAAAGCAAGAGAGGCACGTGTCTCACACATCTATATGTCTAACATTCGTTTCCTTCCCTTCCCTCCATTAGAATGTCTGACGCTCAACTTCTCGAGAGCAACTCTCTGCGGCTTCTCGTTCTCACGTTGACTTCTAACCTGAGATGGAATAAATACATTGTGTCAATTGCCTCGTCCACTGCAAGGAAAGTTGGCTCCCTGAGCCGCGCCAGGAAGTTTTTCTCCCCGGAGTCGATCCTCCAGATCTACAAATCAACAATTCGCCCTTGCATGGAGTATTGCTGCCATATATGGTCTGGTGCCCCTTCTGTTTGCCTCGGGGTACTTGATAGGCTCCAAAGGCGGATATGCAATGTGGTTGGCCCTGCCCTGGCGTCTCGTCTACAGTCACTTTCTCACAGACGCAGCGTGGCCTCTCTCTGTCTGTTCAACAAATACTTCCATGGCAATTGCTCCGAGGAGCTGCATTCGCTGATTCCGAGACGTCATGAGTTCCAGCGCCTTACGAGGCTGGCATCCCGCTCTCACCCCTTCACTGTCGAAACTCCTAAATGTAGCCGTCTCTTCTACTCTAATAGCTTCATGTCTCGCACCTCTCGCCTGTGGAACTTCCTTCCCTTTTCCTGTTTCCCTGTGAGCTATAATCTCCAGCTATTCAAGTGTAATGTCAATCGACATCTGCAGTTGCCACTACCCTCATCCTTTCTTCTATCACTCCTATCTGATCTTGCTCTAAATTTTCTGTAACCCCTTGCGTCCTAGTGGCTTCCCTGCCTTGTTTAAAAATGCTTAAAAAAAAAAAAAAGGATATTGCTGCCACATATGGTTCGGTGCCTCTGTTCTTCATCTAAGGCTCCTTGATAAAATTCTAAAGAAGAATAAGCAATATTAATGGTCGTGATCTGGCAGCTCAGCTTCAGTCATTTCCCCACTGCCACAAGGTTGCTTCTCTGTGCCTTTTCTATAAATACTTTCACGAGAATTGTTAGGATCAGCTCTTCACTATGGTACCTAGACATTTTCAATTTAAGTGCAGTACAAGATAGGCATCAAGACATCATCAATTTACATTTGAGCTGGCTAAATGTAGCCATAGATTCTAGACTAACAGTTTCTTTTCTCGCACTTCTCATCTGTGGAACGCTCTTCTGGCTCCATGCTTTCTAGCCAACTTTAATCTGAAAAAGTTTAAACGCAATGTCAATCGCTATCTACAGTCCTCCTGATTACTCTTTTTGTTCTTGCTCATCATTAATGTTTCAGTACCTAATTCCTACACAGCCTGTAACCCCCTTGTGTCATAGTGGCTTTGTTACTTTGCATCAAGTGACGCTGATTTTAATAAATAAAATTATTCTTGTAAATAAACAAACTAATAAGTAAATAGTGTTTAATATTAAATATTAATAATAAGTAAATAGTGTTTAATATTTAACCATTGCTAGGTCAGCTTCTAAGAAATTTGGTTCAGTGTTTCGTGCAAGACGATTTTTCTCATCGGAATCTAACCTACATATTTATAAGTCTACCATTCATTTTTTCTTAGAATATTTCTGCCACATATGGTCCGCTGCTGCTGCTGTTATTTATCTAGAGTTCCTTGATTTTATCCAAAGAAGAATCAGCAATATTATTCGTCCTGATCTGATGGTTCGGTTTCAGCCATTTTCCTACCATTGTAAGGTTGGTTCCCTGTGTCTTTTATATAAGCACTTTCACGGTAATTATTCGGATGAGCTCTCAGTTATGGTACCTAGGCTTCATGAATTTAAGCACAGTATTAGACTGAAGTCAAAGAGTTCATCAATTTACATTTGAGCTGGCTCGATATAGCCGTAAGTTCTATGCTGTTTTTTCTTCTCGCATTTATCGATGGTGGAACTCCCTTCCAGCTCTATGCTTTCCAGTCAACTTTAATGAAAAAAAAAAAAAAAGTATGTTTATTTCAAAATTTGTCTGGCTTTAAACAACCTGCAAATTGATAAGCTGTAAAAAATCAAAATCAATCGATCGTGCTGATACCGTCTGCTTTCAAATCGTACTTCAAAGTTGTTGGCTAGAAGTTAGGATATCGACTTTTTTCATTGATTTGTGCTCTCACTTTCTCTCTAACAGTCTCTCTTACTCCTAATCTATCTATCTATCTATCTATCTATCTATGTATCTAAATGTCTGTCTGTCTGTCTGTCTATCTATCTATCTATCTATCTATCTCAGACTGTTCATATCTAGCTAGCTATCAATCGATCTATCTATCGCAGTCTCAATTCTTTCTTTCTCTTTCTTTCTTTCTTCATTTCTTTTTTTTATCACGGCCTGTTCATATCTATCTATCTATCTATCTATCTATCTATCTAACTAACTAACTAGCTATCGCAGGCTGCTTTCTTTCTATTTTCCTGATTGTCACGGCCTGTATATCAATCTAGCTAGCGATCGATCGATCGATATATCGCAGTCTTCATCCTTTCTCTTTCTTTCTTTCTATCTTTCTTTCTTCCTTTTTATCACGGCCTATTCATATCTATCTATCTATCTATCTATCTATCTATCTATCTATCTATCACAGTCTCCTTTCTTTCTTTCTTTTCTTCTTTCTTTCATTCTTTCTTTCTTTCTTTCTTTCTTTCTATCACGGCCTATTCATATCTATCTATCTATCTATCTATCTATCTATCTATCTATCTATCTATCTATCACAGTCTCCTTTCTTTCTTTCTTTCTTTTCTTCTTTCTTTCATTCTTTCTTTCTTTCTTTCTTTCTTTCTTTCTTTCTTTCTATCACGGCCTATTCATATCTATCTATCTATCTATCTATCTATCTATCACAGTCTCCTTTCTTTTCTTTTTTTTTCTTCTTTCTTTCATTCATTTTTCTTTCTTTCTTTCTTTCTTTCTTTCTTTCTATCTATATATATATCATCTATCTATCTATCTATAAAAAGTCTCCTTTCTTTCTTTATTCATCTTTTCTTTCTTTATTTCTTTCATCTATCTATCTATTCTATCTATCTATCTATCTATCTATCTCTATCTATCTATCTATCACAGTCTCCTTTCTTTCTTTCTTTTCTTCGCCAGTTTTCATTTTCTTTCTTCTTTTCTTTTTCGGCCTATTCATATCTATCTATCTATCTATCTATCTATCTATATATCTATCTATCACGTCTCCTTTCTCACTTTAATTTATCTCTTTCTATCTCTTTCTTTCTTTCTTTCTATCTATCTATTCTATCTATCTATCTATCTATCTATCTATCTATCTATCTTCTATTTCAGTTCCTTTCTTTCTTTCTTTCTTTTCTTCTTAGGTTTTCTTTCTTTCTTTCTTTCTTTTCTTTTTTTTTTCTATCACGGCCTATTCATATCTATCTATCTATCTATCTATCTATGTCTTTCTTTCCTTCTTTTCCCTATCGCCTCCCTTTTTTAAATGTGTCTCTATCAGTCTTTAAAAGACTTTATTCCTCTTATTATTTCTCTCCTTTCTTTTGAAGGCTCTCCCAATTTCTCCGTTTTATATTCTTTCTTTTCTATGTTCTATGTTTATCCACCTTCATTCGTTCCTTGCTTTTTCACTCTATTAGATTTAATACACATTTCACTTTCCTTCTTTCTTTCTTTCTTTCTTTCTTTCTTTCTTTCTTTCTTTCTTTCTCTATTTTCTTTTCTTTCTTTGTATGTTTTTCTTTCTCTTTTTCTTTCTTACTTTATTTTCGTATTTTTTTTGTTTTTCCTTTTCTATTTCTTTTCACGTCTTCCTTTCTTTCCTTCCTTCTTTTTACTCTCTCTCTCTCTCTCTCTCTCTCTCTATTTCTTTCTCACTTTTCTCGCCATATCCTTTCCCTTCATATATTTCAACAGAAATCCGCAAATTTCATTTCACTTCAGATTTTTGACAATTCAATGGCAAAATGTCAAGGAATTTCTTGACATTTTTCTTATTTAATTTAGGAAGTTCTCCCACGGGACTGGCTCGTAAGAATTATATTGCCTTCGTTAATACACAAATAGTTTGTTATGATTGAAAAGAGAAAAGATAAAGGAAAAATACACATTCCATTATAGAAGAAATGAAAAGAAAGAAAACGATATGAGTTTTCAAAAAAGGACAGATGATTTCTTTGTTGTCTCTACAGTTCAGTGAGTTACTGGGACACATTACGGCTATACAATGGCAGGAGAGAGAGACAGGGAGAAGGAGAAAATGAAGGTTCGAGAAAACAATATGGAATAAAAACATAGGACCAGATTGAAATACAGAGAGAGAAACAGAGAGAAAGTAATAGATAGATAGATGAATAGAAAGAGAGAGAGAGAGAAAAAAATAAACTGAGATACAAAAAAATAGAGAGAGAGGCAGTGAGAGACGGAGATAAATACAAATAGACAGATAATGAACAAATAGATAGATAGATAGATAGATAGATAGATAGATAGATAGATAGATAGAGAGAGAGAGAGAGAGAGAAATCTGAACAGATAGATAGATAGATAGATAGATAGATAGATAGATAGATAGATAGATATGAACAGAGATAGAGACAGATAATTATGAACATGGATAGATAGATAGATATGAACAGATAGAGAGAGAGAAAGATCTGAACAGATAGATAGATAGATAGATAGATAGATAGATAGATAGATAGATAGATATGAACAGAGATAGAGACAGATAAATATGAACATAGATAGATAGATAGATAGATAGATAGATAGATAGATGAGAGAAAATCCGAACAGATAGATAGATAGATAGATAGATAGATAGATAGATAGATAGATAGATAGATCTGAACAGATAGATAGATAGATAGATAGATAGATAGATAGATAGATAGATAGATAGATTGATAGATAGATAGATAGATCTGAACAGACACATAGATAGACAGAGAGAGAGATCTGAACATAGATAGATATGAAGTGACATAGATAGATAGATAGATAGATAGAGAGAGAGAGAGAGAGAGAGAGAGAGAGAGAAAGATCTGAACAGAGGTAACTTTTTCTCTCTCTCTTTCTCTCTCTTTCTTGCTGATTTCGTCGTATCAACTATTTTTTTCCTTTCGTCTTTCTTAATGTTTGTTTGATTTTGTTTAGCGGTATATCAACACCTCTATGGGTTATTTATTATTTAAATATTCTGACACAATTTTATGACTTCAACTCTTTGATATATTTTGAACACAAATGTTAACCTTCAACTACAGATAAAAGACATTGCCCTTAATTTTACTATAAATATGGTGGTCATTTATTTTAAATGCACTGATGCTTTTTTTTTACGATAAAAATGTATTTTTATACATTTTTAATGGTGTTTATGTTTGCGGGGTTCACTATTTGCTTCTAGCTGAGACTGTAAGGGGTGCTACCACCTCAGGTCAGGATAGACTTGAGCAATAGCAGCAATTAAGAGGTGGTTCCACGCTCCTCAAAACCTCTAATCTCCCGATCAGAAGTCTTACTGCCAGATGTAGTTTATCGTCATACCCAGGACTTTCTGTTTTAATGAGGTTCTTTTTTTATTGCTTGAATTAAATGTTGTACCTCTTCGAATTTATCTCGGTCTATTTTGTATTTTTTCTATACGAACGTGTGTGCATGAGAGGGGGGAGAGAGGGAGAGAGAGAAAGAGAAAGTGGGCGAGAGAAAGACAGAATACGTCATTGAGTCAAGCACTGAGAACTGTAATGAACATCTCTAAAAGATTATAACACAATGTTAATTAATTGATTGATTGACTTACCAACAATTTAACGGTTATTTACACTAATCATATTTGCACTAATATATATATATATATATATATATATATATATATATATATATATATATGGCATCAAATGACAATTGGAAAAAAATCTTACATTTGCCGACGCGTTTCGTCTTCCGAGTTTTCAAGGCAAAAATGAAATCGAAATGTTTTTTGTTGTTATAGTTACATTAAAATCCAAATTTAAAAAGATAGACTCTAGTGTCTAAGCCTTTTTTTTCTGGTTAATGTAATACTTTTATAGTAAGGGATTATTATTATTATTATTATTATTATTATTATTATTTTGTCCACAGAATTCATCTGGGAATTTAACTATATATATATATATATATATATATATATACAAACGCACACACACACGCACCCATGTGCAAATTTATTGAAACAACCCCTTTAGACCCACTAGAGTTACAGTGTGCAATCGATTTCTATTTTTTCCTCAGATTAGGTCATCTGCAATGGTGTGCTGTAATATAAATCTATTTTGGGCGTGTATCATGAAATTTGTTTGGCCTTGAAAAATATGGCGTCATCCGTGATTGCATCAGGTTTTTATCACGTCCAGACACTATTGTCACGATTGTCGATTAGTTGTCCTCCGGCTATTATCTGCGAGGGACGTTACTCTAAGAAAGCGTACGAAAATTTGTAACGCTGCACGAAGACACTGGCAAGCCTTCCCGGTGAGAAAATCAAAGTCCTATAGAATGGCCCGGAAACTCTCCTGATTTAAATCCAATCGAGAATCTGTGGTCAGTCTGCAAGAAACGACTTCGTGGAATGGACATACGAAGTACTAACATGTGCGCCGGGTCATGTTTCATTGGAAAACATACGAAGAAAAGTAAATAATGGAATTATTCGTTTTGTTTTCATTAATTTGCCCTAGGATGTAGGTGATCATGGCCCTCCACATCTTCCTCTATAATTAATTTGCACAAGGGTGTAACATAGAGGGAACAATGCACATAGTGGATTAAAACGTTAGTTCGCGAATTTGGTGGCATTTTGATTGTGAGTTCAATCCCTGGGCGGGGCAGTGTATACGTGGACTCAGTGGAAATAGGGCGAGCAATAACTAAGCTGTACTTAATATAAAAACCAGATCCCTAAACATGAACAGTTGAACGAAGACAGTCTAACCCCATAGATTAAATAAAGAGTTCAGTTCAGAATTCCTTGTCGGATACCCAGACTGATACACACCTAAGGAAGGCCGGAGTGTAAAACGGCCGAGATGTTTTGATAGCAACAACAGATATAAAGACAATAACTCCAGTATAAATTATGTTAATAACGATAACATATCCTAAAAATTCAGACACAAATTTGTAAACTATTTACATTATTCGGCCTATCATCCTCATATGTGGTAAATATGCTTCCATATTTATCACAACGTTTCGGCCATTGTACGCTCCGGCTTTCTTCAGGTAGTTGGAATGTCGAACTGAACCCTTTATTTCGCTCGCTGGGGTAGACTGTTTTAGTTCCACGTGCCATGTTTAATGGATCTCAGTTATAAGTTATCTCCTGTTAATTTTCCTCCCCGAGTTATACGCTGCCTTAACCAGGTATTGAACTCACACTCTTTGGGTCCTGTCACTAGATCTAACTAACGCTTTTATCCATTGTGCCATGTGTCTTTGAGAACATCTGTGTATTATAAACATAATGTCTTCAGCAAACATTTTTAACCAGTGCTCATATTGAAATTTTGCTGTTATCATTGCAGGTTTTTTACCAGAGCTCATATTGCAATTTTCGTTGTTATTATCGCTTATCTCTGGCACTCCTTATTACTGGTTCCCATATTGTATTCATTTCTATGCTTGATCGGCTCAGGAGATTTTTGTGGCCCAGTATATGTGCTGACATATAGACAGATACAAAAATTTGTAAGTTATTTAAATGCGAAACATATTCTAAATTTTTGTTTTGTTTTGCGAGAGAATATTGCATTAACATTTTTCCAGATACATGTGTTACTATTTAACCCATAGAGAGGGAAACGAGATTGATTCATACTTTCCCCAAGGGTATTTTTACGTAAGTGAATGTAACGAATCCTACTGGAATTCGAACCTATCTCTCAGATTTCATGAACAGCTGTCCATTATACCAACCGCAAATCCACGCAAAAGAAGAAAGGCCAAGCGTCATATTAAATAAGAAGGTGTATACATTATTTGATGAATTGTATAAAAATATATTTCTTGTGTCCTTTTATTTTCTTCTTCTATCCGCGTGCAAACTCGTCTTGATTAGCGCCACGGGGAAAAGTGAATAAAAAGATTCTTAAGTAGACATCAAAAGTAAAATGACAAGCGAAAGCCAAAGAGGTACGTCAGCAATTACGTCAGCCACAAGCCACTGAAAAGGTCACCAATACAAACTATAGCCGTGCAACAAGTTCGCAATGGATATATCTACATAGATATAAAACAGAACATCGGAAAGTTCCTCGACTGTACGTATGGTCATTATACAGTTCAAAAGAAATATAATCAAGTCAAGGAAGTTATTTTCCCAATACGTCCTATGCAAATCTACTTACGTTCATGAATACTCTCTCATCGTTGATACCGAGAAACGGTTTCACAGACGAGATTGGACACCATTGAATAGAAGTAATTCTGCGTAAGAGACATTGGGATTACTGTGTACAATCCAATGGGGACGATTTCGAAGGGGATACTGGGCAATTTTA